ACCTGTTCACACTTAGACACACACCTGTACACACACACCTGGACACACTTAGAAATACACATAAACACACACCTGTACATACATACACACACACTTGAACACACACACACACACACCTGTACACACACCTGTACACACGCATTCACACACACCTGTACACACTTAGACACACCGGTACCACCGTCACCGACAGGAAGTGACCAACGTGTGTTTATTTTGAAAATCTGATTTAATTATGTGAACCTGAAACTGTGTGGAACCAGACCTCACAACAACACCACTCTTCATTCTGCTCCTGTTCAGGTGGAGGTCGGAGGCCGAGTGCAGCTCTCCACCAATCACATCACGGTGTCTGACCTGGACACGCCCAGGAAGGACCTGCTGGTGTGGCTGGTCAGTCCTCCGAAGTACGGCTTCATCGAGAACACGAGGCGAGGTGAGCAGAGCACGCACTCTGTGTGTGTGTGTGTGTGTGTGTGTGTGTGTGTGTGTGTGTGTGTGTGTGTGTGTGTGTGTGTGTGTGTGTGTGTGTGGTGTGTGTGTGGTGTGTGTGTGTGTGTGTGTGTGTGTGTGTGTGTGTGTGTGTGAGTCGTCACTGTTAGCCTAACCCGTGAGGTCGTCACTGTTAGCCTAACCCGTGAGGTCGTTACTGTTAGCCTAACCCGTGAGGTCGTTACTGTTAGCCTAACCCGTGAGGTCGCAGAGATGACTGACCTTCAGAAGTTCTGTGAAAAATAAAAGCATCATTTAAAGAAGGATAAAGCTCTTTGTCCTCCCGTCCAGCAGGGGGCTCTGTGGGCGGCTCGCGGGTCGTCACCCCTGACGTCCCGTTCTCCATGGACGACCTGACGTCTGACCACATCTTCTACGTTCAGGACGGTAAAGCTCGGGTCCAACAGGACGCGTTCAGCTTCTACATCAGTGACGGACACAGTCAGACCGAGGCCTTCAGCGTGGAGGTGGACATCCAGGTGAGTGATGTCACACACTGTTAGGTAACGTCCAGGTGAGTGATGTCACACACTGTTAGTTTACATCCAGG